CCAATCCTTTCACGCTCCGTTTCTCTTTGCAGTCTTGAGAAGGAGAACTATGAAGTCTGGGCCAAAGTGGTGAGGCTGAATCAGGACGTTGAAAGGGAGAAAAAGAAGTCTGAGCAACTGGAGCTGAAGTTGATGAACGTGGAGCGCTCACGGGAGGACATGGAGAAGAAAAACAAGATGCTTGAGGAGGAGATAAAAAACTTAGCTAAATCTACGTGCAAAACTGGTGCCAAAACCAACTAGAAGAAGACATGCAATTGTGCACAGACATAAAATGCAGCTGCACGAATCTACAGGAATTTCCAAGCAGGATCAGAGCCAGGGACTTGTATCGTCTGGTGTTCTGCTACCGACTGCAGGCTGGTTTGCAGGAAGGAGCCCAGAAGTTGGAGGCTGGTCTATGTTCTGAAACAGGAAATTTCAAAAATATTCTTTAGCTTTTTTAGAGTGTTTTTTTTTTTTTAACTCCTCTCGCAGCTGCTCAAGTTACCTGTAGAACAGGCCAATACTTCTTGCTGCTCGATCAGAATATCTTGCACTCAGGAGTTCAGGTTAAGGACACATGATGCCTTTACAAAAATGAACCAGCAAGCATCCCTCCTGCCAGCTGGCTGGCTCCTTGCTGGAGATACCCACAGTGCTTCTGAGTGGAACAAAAAGTTCAGAAATCCTGGATCGGGGGAGACAGAAGAGCCTCGAGGTCTGGGGTGGCACAGCCCATCAGGCAGTGTGCTGGGTAGTGGGCTGCAAATGCTGTCAGCATCATGGTCGAGGTGTTCACATTAACACATAGTGTTGATTATTGCTCTTATAGAGCACCAGAAGTCCAAACAGCCCATCAGGTGCACTGAGGAGCTCTCGTACAGCATCACTTGCCGTGCTCTGCCAGACTCATCGAAGTCGAGGCTCCAGATATAAAATCACAATATCACAAAAACCTCTTTAGTGAAGTGGCTGGTCAGTTATTTGAAATCATTGTTTCTTATAGCCGTGTGTATATAAACCCAGCACAGCTGCTGGTGAGGCTTTGGAGAGCACTTTCATGCATCCATACTTGGAGCTCCTCGTGCAGAAGGAGTCTGCAACTTTACCTGGTACAGAACATGGAGCTTCTGCTTTTTCCCTGATGGACAGTTTTCAAGGAATAACAGTTCTGGGCTTACTTATTTGCCACCTCCATGTTTGTTTTTCGCCCTTTCATCAGCATAGAACAGGATTTCCTCAGCCACCTCGGTAGAAACCTGGGTTTGCACCCCAGTGATGATACTGGGCCTCTCCCTGTCACTTGCTGCCATCAGCGTACGGACTAACTGGACCCAGAGGTCTCAAGGTGCCAGTGTGGCTATCAGTAAACTTGTCTGCTTGTTTTCCCACTGCCTGCCAGCAAGTTGTCCTTCCAGCAGCGCCACGATTTGCTGAAGCTTTTGGTGTAGGAAGTAAAATAACAGGACTCTGCAAGAAAAATCCTCATTCCTCACTTATATTAAGAAGGGGGAACAACACCAAAGAGCCTCAGTCCAGCCTGGGGCCTTCATGGGAACAGAAAAGGGAAAAACACAGAGACCTGCAGGAGTTTTCAAGCGAGATGTCTCGGACCAAGCGCGTGGTCTGTGCCAAGCATGGTGAAGTTGATCCAACAACGGGGGGTTGCTGCTACTGAGGATTTGGCTTTGGTGATACTAAAGTTCAGCTCAGGACAGGCTGCAGACCTGCCCGGCAGAACCTGCAAAGACAAACAAACTGGTGAGACAAAGGAACACAGGAAACTACGTGAAGAAAGGGGAGATGGGAGCTGGAAAATGTTATTAGAGAATAAAAGTCAATATTGGGTATGTAGCACTTGCTGCTATCAGCCTTGCTGGGGAGACCAGACTCCTCTGCCTCAACCTTAGACCCAGCTTGGTGGATCGAACCCGCCTTCGCTCAGCTGCGGTGTAGAGCACTGGTGAAGGAGAGCTTTGTGGAAGTTGAGCTGCGTTTAAGAATCTGACCAATAAACAGCTCATCGGACCTATAGACTGACTCCGGCTGCTTTTCCTTTCCATAGGATCCCCAGAGACCACACAGCTCCTCGCTGTCCTGCCGACAAACCTTCACACCAGGGAACCAAATTTTTCTGGAGGCCTGCATGGAGCTAATGCAAACTCACAGTGCCTTCCAGAAGACCCGCAGCCGAGGTCCTCTGCTCTTGCAATGGCCAAATCTAACTAAAATGTTTCAAATCGAAACTCGGTAATGTAAAATCTTGGTGAGGATGACAGTTCCAGGTGGTGACCAGCAGTGGGACCAGTGGTGCTGGACCTCCTGCTGCGGAGCTCCATGGCCTTGCAGAGGGCTGGGTGTCGCAGAGACGAGCCCAAGGAGGAGAGTGTGGCCTCCACTGGGCTCAGCCACTGCCAAAGCTGAGCTACCCAAACATCACCTTCCCCATCACCTGCATGTCCTGTGCGCTACAGCATCCTGAGATGACACCTTTGTCTCTTTCAAGCACCACTGACACCATTGGTGCTGCAAGTCAAAGTTCCCACCATGCGCCTACGGGACCCACCTCTCCCCAACACCCAAATCAAGAGGTTTGCAGGGTGCCTTTCCCCTGCCACCGTTCCAGAGCAACTGTTCCCATTCACGAGTCTTTTCTGTGATTTCAGATGACCATAACAGAGCTGCCTCAGCGTTTATTTAATTTTTTTACCTTTACAAGGGACTCATTACCAATCTGGGCGTGAGGCTCAGGAGTCATTTAGGGAGAAACTTCTCCATCAGTCTAGGAGGAACATTGTGAACATCTGCGCTGGAAATGCCACACGCTGCTTTCTGCAGAGATCAAAAGTGTGAAGAGGCAAATAATTCCTCCGCAGCACGCAGAGGAGTGTGATGACGTGGAAAGGCTTGGCTGAGGCTCAGAAGTCTCTGTGATTAGGACAAGTGCACGTTATTTTAGTATAAACTTTGCATTCCTCCACTTCCGCTGCAGATAGGCAAAATAACCTCTGTCAAACCAAGACTGTTTCTGCAGATCAGAGTCACTTCTTTGAAGATCTTCTGCCCATTAAAATCTGGAGTGTTTATAGTGGTCATGTTTAAAAAACAGACTTTCCAACAAAGGTCAGGTGGGCTGGAAATTCCTAAGTGCATGGGGAGAGTGAACAGCCTCAAAGAGCGACGTGGGCATCTTATGAGTTGGTTTTGCTGTTGGGTGCTGCAAGATAAGGAGAGTTCTCTTTTTTTTAAAAGTGAGGTTTTTCCAGAGACAGAGAAGCATGGATCTGCCCATGCCAGACCTGTGGAAACTTTGCATCCTTTTCAGCCCTGAGGGTATATCCTCTCAGCTCAGTCCAGCAAAACCCAGGTCTGCATCTGAATACTGGCAATGCCCAAATCTTACTCTGGATTTAATACACTTTCAGATCTTCTATTGGAAACACCAGAACATGAGAGCCCTAAAAACTGCCTAATGCACGACCTATATTTCCTTCCTCCCTCTCTTTTTGCAGCCAAGCCGTGAAGCTTTTTGGGGAAGGAGGAGCAGAGAAAGTCTTTCCTGTTCCTGAAGCAGGGGCTGCTGTTTCTCTGTGCTGCAAGGGGCATTATAAACCCACGGAGGGATGTTTGGTGGCTGCTTTTCAGCTCAGCAGGCTTTAAACATTGATTCTGGATATGCTAGAAAGTGTGATACTACTCCTATCATATAAAAGTACAACAGACTGTCTATCGTAGAGAATAAAGAATAAAGCCTGTAGAAAGATCCGTTTCAACCCTGTCCTGGGCATTGTAGGCTCAGAAACTGCCAAAAAGGCAGTTTTCACCCCCTTTAACCCTCACACTGCACAGCCAGAGGATACAAGGCCATCCTCTTCAAGGTGATGGGAGAGTGTAGGATAACCCACAAAACATACTTAGGATTTTCCTTCCCTTTGAATGGGATATGGCTTTCTAAGTTAGAGCAATTAAAACCTCAGATCTGAATGCATCCAAAACTATTAAACCATGCATTATGGGGTGAAAATATGTCATCTTTTAGGATATAATTTTAATCCTGCTCACACTCTCTAGCATTCTTTGCACTAGAGCAAAAAATCTGATTTGCTCTTCTTAGGTATTTAGTGCATTCATTTAGGAATTCACTTCGTTGTACCCGGGCGTTTGGTAGGCGTGAGATGCAAGAAAGTAAAATTATCCTTCCCACGTTATTCTCTTTGGATCCTGAGGCAGTCATGCTTATGCTGACTTATCCCCTCATATTTTATCAAAGTTGCATTTTTGGCATGGTGGTAACTTGCCTTTTTTAGCTTGGCTACTGCATAAAATAGCAAGTTGTTGTGGGAGGCGAGGTGGACGCGTGGGCAAAGTGCCCAGCCATTATTTCGGGTGGCTTATACAAACGACAGCAGCGCAGCGAGAACATGTTGTTCTCCCCAGGAATGGCAGAGGAACACAGTCCATCCTTGCTTTACGTGGGAGCTGAAAGATACCCCCAAAACAGGCTGCTTTTAAGAAGGAAAAACTGCCAAATTGAGAGTTCGTGGATGAATAACTGTTCGCCAAGGTAGGGAGGAAAAAAAAGTCCCCAGACTTTCAGCCAAACCCTCGCTGGAAGCATCCCACCATCCCGTTTTCCCTGTGTTTTCCTGCCACCTTGCTGCAGCACAGGGGTGCTGCGAAGCCAGACCTTCAAACTGGCCTGTAGGAGAAATAACCTGGCAAAAAAAAAAAAAAAAGAGCATCCTGCTAAAGCGGAGGCTGACGTGGGGGCAGGAGGAAGCAGCCAGGGTAGCAGGGACAGGAGCTGTCTGGATAAGCACTCCTTTGGAGGAAACGCTCATCTGTTCTGGCACAAAAACCTGCAAGTTTAGGGGTTCTGAGTTATTCAAGCAGGTCAATGCCCTGAGCGCTCGCATGGTGACTGCTGCACCAAGGCTCCAGCTGGGACAGCTTCTTCCTTGGGCAATTCCCATTGCCAACAGCCCGTCGCGTGCGTGGCCTCCACTGAGAATAGTTTATTCCCCCTTCTAGCTGTTTGCCTTTACCAGAGTTTTCTCAGTAGGTAATTCCCGTAAACAGGAGTGCTCAGCAGTGAATTGGGAACTCGATTTCTCAAGAAATAAGGCTTTTGACTGCAGCCAAGTGCAGCACCAGGTGCGTGGTGTGATTTTGGGTGCAATTTTCCCAACCGTAAGGCCGTGGGGCAGAGCAGAGACCTTACCACCACAAGACTCCAGGGTGTGCTCAACCTTTAGCAAACA